CTACTACCAGTACTAGAAAGATTGCTTTCCAGCTAAATGTTGATCATATGACGGTATTTCGAATTTTAAAGGAATAACTCTTATACCCTTACCATCTGCAACGAGTACAGGTACTGTTACCGCGAGACTTTCCGAACCGTCTTGAATTTTGCAATTGGATGCTGGAAATGATAAGAAGAAATTGTGACTTTCTGAAGACGATAGAATTCACAGACGAATGTAGCTTCTCTCGGGAAAAGATTATTAATTTTCATAATTACCACATATGGGCTGTTAAAAACCCTCACGTTATTGTCGAAACTAATCATCAAGAACAGTTTTCTCTTAACGTGTGGCTCGGAGTTATTGGGAATGATTTAATTGGGCCTCATTTTCTACCTCCTCGATTAAATGGAGAGTTCAATTTTTAAGAGAAGTGCATCCAGTACTGCTGGAGGAAGTTCCTTTGGGCGTCAGAAGGGATATGTTTGTATGCATAATGGGGCTCCCACCCATTTTAGTCAAGTAGCATGTCAGCATTTAAATGAAACATATGAAAATCAGTGCATAGGTCGAGGAGGACTACAGAACTGGCCCTCTCGATCTCCGGATCTCAATCCTCTCGATTTCTCTATTTGGGTCTATTTACAGCATTTGATTTATCGTACTCCTATTCGGGATGTAGAGGACTCAAAAAACCGCATCATCGATGCGTGCAGGGTAATCAGGGATACTACAGGAATATTTGAGCGAATACGTGGCTCAATGCGCCGACGTCTAGACACATGCGTAATGTCTGAAGGTAAACATATTGAATAATTACTATGATTTCTACATGTTGTGTGTTTTGTTATAAATAAATTAGTTTTGTTTATTACCCTTTAATCGTTTAATGCAGGTAGTAAGTACAAAATAACAATAAAACCAGTTCGCATTTATGATGATGTATCTCTGTAGTTGTTCGTAAAATAATTTTTTGCTACGAACTGGTAAATTTTAGCCAAAAAACCCTAGAGAAATTTTTTGTTTAGAATGAAACAGGCTATGGTAAACAAATGATAAGACAAAAAGTTACATTGGAAATGAATTTTAGGGGTTGCGTTTTCCACCCCTAACAATCATGGGGTAAACCAAGTAAATTACTGGCTAAGTATCTTTTTGGTAGTACAAAACGTCAGGTTACTTTCAATATTGTAACTTTTTTAGTGCTTGTGAAAAAAATTGTTATACAAATTTTATGTACCCCCTTTAAGGGACTGTATCATAACAAGGGATGCTCTAATGAAGTTTCTTTATATGAAAGATCCTAATCTTTTTTTCGATGAGGAATCGATGAGGAATGTTTTAGACTTATTCAGTTACACCCTGTATTATTCCCGATGGCAGTTACTTTTTTTCCCATTTAGTCGTCTTCGTATCTGTTATGGTTTAGAATATAGCAATGTTATCACATGATGAAAGAAACGGCCTGCAAAGTTGGTATCCATCACTACATCTGTGACTACTATTGTCGAAGCAAACTTTGTAGCAGTCGTTATGGATTGTGATCGCATTAGCGATTATTTTCGTATGGAGGCAAAGTCAATGGATGTAGGAGGTGTACAACAAAGTATCAGTATGCAACCAGGGCCATCCTGACATTGACGGGAGCGGTTGATAACAAGCGCTTTGCTCAAGTCTATTCTATTTTTACTGTATACGTTTCCCAAATATTGTTGACGAGGGAGTCTTGGATACCAGACATCTGAATATTGCAAATACCAAGGAATTTCATTATCTGTTAGAGTAAACTCAGTAAAACCTACTGAAATTCAAGAGAAAAACGAATAATCTTCATGAGAGAAACAAAATACCAAAATGTAATTAAAAACTTGAAATTTTTGAAAATGATTTCATCCAATTTTTCCTTTCATCAATCATAATATAATAACTTACCTGCTGCAAATATAGCTAATACAGGTGCCCCAGTTAAAGGACTTCGATATTGTATAGAAGGTACGAAAACCCTCCATTCTTTGCTTCCCAACTTTACGAAGGAATCGTAGATAACTGGTAACACTTCGGTGAGCACAAGACAAACTACGCTTATTGTGAATGCCGCTATGATTGGTCTCGCCCAGTCAACATCTCTTCTTTCAAAAACTTGTACTAGTGGAATCGCCGTGCCAATCAATTCTCTACGAGAAATACAAATTTGAAGGCGGAAAAAATTATCTCAGTATGTATCCCTCCCAAAATACCGTTAGGATTCAAGAAATGAGTCTCTCCCTATTATATTTATCTTAGGTTGTTTAAGAAGTTTTGTCCGTTTTTGTGAGTCTACTTTGAACTGTAATAGGTATATCAGCGATCAGGGGATGTCCACAGGGTAGTGTCTTATCCCCCCTTCTTTGGAACATAGTTCTGGATACCCTAAGCAATCACCTCAACAATAATGGATTCCACACAATTGCATATACAGATGACATAGTTATCATGCAGACAGGCAAATTTATGATCGCACCTAGACAGTAAACTAACATGGAACTCTCACCTACAGAGAAGAGCAAAGAGAGCATATGTGGCTTATGAGCAATGTCGGAGGACAATGGGGCGCTCATGGGTTTTTTAACCCCGTGTGGTCACCTGAATCTACACTGCAATAATAAGACCTATGTTAACGTACGGAGCCATTGCATGGGGACCGAAAGTTTTACAAGCAACGGCCATTCAAAAATGTTATCAAATTCAGCGATTGGCTTATTTAAACATCACAGGAGCTATGAGAACAACACCAACCGCAGCAACAGAATTAATTACTGTTCTGACCACTCTGGACCTGTATGTTAAGGAGGTTGCGTTAATGGCCATGTTACGATTGTGCAAGGCTGGTGTAAACCTCGAAGTAGGAATGGGTCAATTGAGGCTGAGCCCTTGGCGAGAAGCGCTTACTGCACAACCTCTGCTACAGGCAACCAGGGATGCAATTGAATCCAGGTTTGTATTTAATAAACCCAACAAAATACAAATAATACAAAACACAAAGTCATATGATACAAACGCAATACGCAGTATATGCAGACGGATCAAAAACCAAAGAAGGCTCAGGATGTGGAGTGTACTCCAGATAACTAAGCCTAAGGATTAAGTGGGGAATGGGAAAAAATACCAGCGTGATTCAAACAAAACTGGCTGGTATCTCAATCGCCACAAAAGAAATAACCAGGACAGGAATTTCTGGCAAAAAACATAACAATCTGCACTGACAGCAGACAAGCCCTATTAGCCTTGAACAGACAACGTGTTACCTTAGGGCTAGTACTACAGTGCCACCAAGATTTACCCAAAGCCTCGGTGATCCTGAGGTGGGTTGAAGGGCACGACAGGAGTGGAGGTAATCGTATTGCAAACTCTTCAGCCAAAGAAGTGGCTGGACTAACAATTTTAGGACCCAGTGACACCTAGGGCCTGATAACTTCGACAATTGCGGAACTAGCCAAACGTCACACCCATGCTCAATCCTTAAAGACATGGGATGGAATCAAAAGATGCAATCTTGCCAGGATCACCCTGGGCGACCCTGGAAAGCTGTCGCCGAAAAAATATCTGGCGATGACCAGGAAAAACCTACGTTTAACAGTAGGATTTCTGACTAACCACTGTCAACTAAGGAAACACCTCAATAATATGGGGCTAGTGAACACACCTCTATGAAGGAAGTGTGATCAGGAAGATGAAACTGTCAGGCATATCCTATGCGAATGTTAGGGGTTATCGTAAATAAGAGAGTGTGTGTTAGGCAAGTCTCGTCCGATATAAAGGAGATGTCTCCCAGACACCTGTCCACCTTCCTGAAAAGGACATGATGGACGATGGTCTAGGAGGATAACTCCTTGGGAGAATGTACAATGGGTCACATATGGCCTAAGTGCTGTGGACCTATACTCACCCTCCCTAATCTACAGATACAGATATCAGCAATCAGTGCACTTTTGCCAACCTAACACAACCTCAGCATAAACATTGAGTGCTCAGTATTCGATGAAGTCGACGAAGGCCATTTTCGCCTGGTCATGATTGGCGAATGTTCTACCGGTGAGAAAGTTTTCAAGTGCTTGGAAAGATGGTAGTCGGTTGACGAATATGGTGGGTGAATTAGAACTTCTTCGCTTAATTTGTTCAACTTTTGGATAGTGATTTGTGAAACGTGCGGATGAGCGTTATCATGAAGCAGAATCCGACCTCTTCTGTTGGCCAGTGCTGTTGATGCAATGTAATCAATTTCGTCACGATATGACTCTGCTGTGATGATTTGACATAGTTGCAGTAAGTTATATTGTATCACACCAGTCGCTGACTGCTATACAGTAACCATTGTCTTTTTTGGTCAGTTTCTGCCTATGGAAAGTGCCTGGGTGGCTCATTGGTGTCCAACCACTGTCCTTAACGTCTCCTGTTGTCGTAGATGACAACATCACACATTACGATCCGATACAAAAATGACAATTTCTGTTGATCGTTCAATTCGTGAGACTCCTAATTTTCGAGCTTTTCGACCATTCCGATATGTTTGACATCATCAAAAACCGCATAGGAGCTAACACCCAGTTCTTTCGCCATCCCACAAACCAATTTTGATGGGTCAGTCTTCACCACTCTCAAATCCTTGTCTTGGATTACGTTAGGTTGACCACTTAGGAACTCATCTAAAATCTCCGGAATGAAAACTTTCATTAGTTCAGACTTCCATTGTCTGATATTATATAGAATGATTTGAAATCCCTGAAAGAACTAATGTTGCCTGAAAGAGGAATCATCTAGATTCTAGACTCTATCAGACCGTGCTTTCAGGCTCTGTTACACGGAGGAAGGTCTCGAGAAGAAACTAGACTTCATTGAAAATGATCTTCAACGGAATGGCTACTCCATGGCGATGCTGGAACAGACTTTGGCTAAAAGACAGCAGGAACTTCGCAAGGAAGAGAAGCCGTAACAACCAGTGCTTGCACTCCCCTACATCAGAGGATTATTGGAAAGGATAAGAAGAATTGGATCCAAGTACAACATCACCTGCTTCAGATCCGGAAACACTATCCATAGCAGCCTCACGAAAACCAGGTTACCAAACGCGGACTGCCATTCCAAGAATGGCATTTACCGGATACCCTTTGAGTGCAGAAAATCCAATATCGGTGAAACTTAGAGGCCAATTAAAGTTCGCATTACCGAGCACAAGAAATACACACAGTAAGGGGAAACCAACAAAGCAGGAATAGCAGAGCATATTTGGACTCATCAACATAACATCTAGTGGTTCCAAGCTGATATCATACGCAGGGAGGAACATTGGTTCAGGAGGAAATTTAAAGAAGCCGCATAAATGTTGTCCTACAATGTATTCAGCCAAGCTAGCGTAGAGAAACGCAACATATGGAAACCCATAATCAAGCGAAAAATGGCCAACTCCCTCCAAACAGTTATATCCCGCTAAACTGGTGAAGCGAAAAAAGGAAAGCGGGGATAAGTAAAAGTAATCGAATGACCCATAAGTAGTCATATTTCGGAGGAATTGGTCCAGTCATCACCCGAACACGATTGTGAATACTAACAATTGAAACGTTGTGGAGTAACTTGGCTTGGAATCTCTCAATTTTTTGTTTTTTTATTTTTGTTCAATTGTTCTATTTTTACTTGTATTTCATCTCATCGTCATTCCACTTCAGTGTTTTTTTGCTTAAAATAATTGTTATTCTCAGCTATTCTTCTTTATTACTTCTTTCAGGGATTTTAAATCATTTTATATAATATCAGATAATGGAAGTCCGAAATAATGAATTTCATCGTGAAACATTGTCAATCACCTTTAAATAATTCGGAATGAAATTTCGCAAAGCAATGTTGAAAAGTACGTTCATTAACACTTTCCTTGTCAAATGAATGATTATTTTTCGATCTGTTTTGGGCTGTTGTTGTTGTTGAATTAGAATCGATAGAGAAAAATTGGCAAAAAATCGCTGAACGACAACTTACAGTATTGAGGCGAAAAAAGAGAAAAAATTTAAATTTTCGGAAAATTCTCTATCGACCATGATATACCATGACAAAGTAGAATAAATATTTACATAAACAGACAAAACTTTTGAAACAACCTAATAATAATAAGACGAGAATTTCAAAGTAAATAATATCCTTAATAACAATAATGATAATGATAATAAATGAATGGGCTAATGCTTGCTGAAGTCGGTGCTCATCGAAAAAATTAAGAACTTTATTGATTGCTACGAGCAGAGTTTCACTTTTCAGTGTTTTTCTTGACTTGACCAAGAGAAAAAAATTATAAATATGTTCAAAATAGGTTTTTCCGTTAACCAGCTGTCGCACTCCTACGAAGGACAACCCTCAGCAGTCGAAACTTGTGCGAGCTAAGGACTAACGAGGTCTTACCGTCACTTGTGGATCCTAACACGGGTTAGACGATAGCAAGTGAAAATCCATCGTCCGGCCTGCGGCTTGAATCACCGATTCACACATCGGTCGATCGAGTGAGTGGAGTGATGCACCCACGTTGAACCGACCGGCAACCGACCGGTTACCGGTCGGTCTGTCGAATCGCACCTTTCATGTGGCCACTTTTTCTCTGCAACATAATGGTAATTTCAGATTTGCTATCCGACGTTTCGTCTTCCGGCCATCGTCATCAACCTTTTTTTTTATGGGCGCTACTTTGGATCCATTCTGTTTCAGTAGAACCAGGTTTTACCTTTTCAATGATGTCTCATAAGTTATCATTCTTCTTCGAAATTGAAGACATTGAAAAAATGTATTCTCATTATAATAGGCTTTGACTTTGATGTTTCTAAATGAAGTTGATGATGGTGGCCGGAAATGTAGCAGAGAAAAAGTGGAAGTGCAATTTATTTTATTTTCGAATCATTCGAAAATAGAGCCAGAAAAATATTAAAACCATTTTCCGAAATTTCTGTTTTTTTTCCGGACATCTCCGGATATACTCGGGATTTCAGAACTTTCTCAACGGAATGTTGTTAGTCAGGTAAATGTGCAACTTTGCCACAATTCAACCACCTTCGTATCTCTCATAGTTTCCGAAATCCCAATGGTGAGGATCGAATATGAAACACCCTGCAGTGGCCGGACAAGGTAACTACTCAACAATAGAAGCGTCTCTTCCTTGCCACTTCTAACTATTGCTTTTTCAGCGACATTGATCGCACATATTATGACGCTGGGTTCAATGAGTTTGCTGGCAGGGCAAAACGGAAGACAAAGTAACAGTTGAAACATAATTGATGAACTAACACAAATATATTAAAACAAGACAATCTTATATTACATACATTTAACCAGCGTTCAGTAATTGATTTCTTGTGGAAAGTAACCAAAACAAATTTTTTCACAAATGTAATGTTCTTTGAGTGATTTCACAAAGTTAACCAGAAGAAGTCTTCTTAATTCGGAGCTGAAGGGGCATTCTGAAAATGACCTCTGACTCTATAACTCCAACTGTCAACTACGAACTGCCTTATAAAGTACTCTTCACGAGTAGAGAGGACTGGATTCTCCGGGGGAAAGAAATGTTAAGAGCAGATAGTTGGTTCACAGATGGATCAAAAACAACTTCAGGTCCTGGTGTTGGTATTTTCAGTCGTAGAAATCAACCTGCTTAGGAACCTATGCAACTGTATTACAAGCGGGAATTAACGCTATCGAATTGTAAGCAAAGAGACTGGGAGAATCCAATGCCATACACAAGTCAATAAAAACATTCTGGGACAGTCAAGCGACTTCGGAAGTTCTTGGCTCCTACCGAGTTACTTCTAAATTGCGAAAAATGACTCTTCTCGATAGGAAGACTTGACAGATTGTTTCCGGTTTAGATTCCTGGCCATACTGGCCTGGAAGGCAATGAAGCTGCTGCTCCTTTGCAAAGGAGGGTGCTGCAAGCAACTTCATAGGGCCAGAACCTGTTATAGGAATCGTTTCAGGCTTTGCCAAATAAAGATTGAATACCTGGATGGCAAGAAGATGTATGGACTTCTGGCAGAATATTCCAGGATTGGCTCATTCTAGGGCGTCTATTCACTTTTCGAAGCTTGATACCAAAGAGTTGCTGGATTACACTACGATGTCTAACAGGCCTTCTCACAGGTTACTGTCATCTGAATCGTTATATGCAGATACTTGGAATCTCGGAAGACAGTGCGTGTCGCCTCTGTTTTGAAAATGATGAAACAGCAGAGCACATACTTTTTGCCTGCCCCGCTGGGGACTGAATCGTGTTTTTAGAGTTCGGCAGAGCCGTACTCTCACCATCTGACCTGAAAGATCACTCACCATACAGACTAATCAAGTTTGTTGAGAAACTGGATTTATTTGGTAGAGTGTGAATAGGCGTGAGCCACAATAAACCCTTGCGGGTTATGATAGAGGGTCGAACATACTCACTCACTTTGGACCTAACCTAACCTAGTTTGGCTGAAGACTAAATACATTTTTCTAAAATTTTTGTGGATTCTTTGGTGCACTGGATACTTCTGAGACTACCTTTTACATACTTCTGAAAGTTCCGAGTATCGTAAGCAATACAAGTTAAATTGTAACATTATTTCATATTCGCGTCGCACGGGTATTGGAAGAATAATATTCCATACAGTAGTAGGCTACGATCGAAACGCTTAACCCGGTAGCTCGGCAATATCGACTATAATAAGCCTCGTCGTGAAAACTTATCAGTTTTAGAACGAGAGGGCGTCAAAATTTTCAGGCTGGAAGGCGCACCAGAAGAAATCCGTAGTGCACATCCTTGTTGAATGGTTTCCCAGTGAAGCACCGTGAGAATTTTCGCACAGTCCTTATATGTGGTAAAGGTGTCTCTTAATTGAGTTACTGAAAAATTAACATTTTTATTATAACCTAGCATTTTTGGAAAATTTTCCAGTCAGTAGAATAAATGGTATCAACGTGAAGATAGTTTGTAAACTTCAGGATTTATTCATAACTATACACCACAGATGAAGTTAGGAGTCTGATGAGATACTACATTTTCTTCAGCGATGAGTTTCTCTTCCAGCCAAGATTTTCTGAATATCTCATTATTCGTAATGATATAAACAATTACCTGTAATGTGTCATCATGGAGAATACTATGGCGGTTACAATATAAAAAACAAGAGGATTGAACACCATTGTCGTTATTTTCAAGCAGTTGTTTTTCCGAGTTATTGGAATATTGTGGACAAAAGCAAACGAACACAGTGCTGCAGATTTCAACACCTGAAAGTTATAAAATTTATTATGTATATTGAACTCAGACTGTCTCTACCTTTCTGTATGAGTATATCTTTAGGTTTTTGAACCAATCTCCGAATTTTATCACAGTGTGGAAACTGCCAATAGCAGTGAAGAAGGCGAAGTTACATAATAAAGCTGCCAAGAGGAGTGCCGATATCGTTGATGATTTCTGAAAAATGTGTAGCATGACTTTATATCAATATACTGATTTTCAATTTTATCCATTCACTATGTGTAACAAAATTATTACTAATGGGATTAGAAATGAACTGGATGAATATTTCATCAATTAAGAAACAACTTCAACACAGTGCGGACGCAAATATTTCTCATAACTTTCGAATGGTTCAAGATATCAGAGTCAGAAAAAAATATTTGCGAAGAGAAATTATTTCTAGCCTCATGATGAAGAAGACAATAGTGTGACATCACTAATTCGAAATTTAGATTTTATTGTCGAAATTATGACTTCACCCCCACAATTTTGACTTCAAACTTGAAATTCAATCTCAAAATTCCGTTTTTGAACGCAAAATTTCAAATTTGAACTTGGGATTCCATTTTCGAACTTAAAATTGTGATTTTGAACTGAAAATATCGACTTCAACCTCAAAATTTCGTTTTCAAACTCAAAATTTTGACTGTGATTTAAAAATTTCGATTTTATTGTTGAAATTTCGACTTCAATTCCAAAATTTCAAGCTTGGAATTCAATCTCAAAATTCGTTTTTTGAACTCAAAATTCCTAATTTGGAATCGGGATTTTGTTTTTAAACTCAAAAGTACGACCTTAAATTCAAAACTTTGATTTCAACTTCAAAATTTTGACTGTTATTCCAATATATCGATTCTATTGTCGAAATTACGACATAACTCTCAAAATTCCAACTTCAAAATTGAAATTCAGTCTCGAAATTCTGTTTTTGAATTCGAAATATCAAATTCAAAGGATTTCCTTTTCAAACTCGAAATTTCAATTTTAAGCTCAAATTTCGACTCCAACCTCAAAATTTCGTTTTTAAACTCAAAATTATGACTATAATCTCGAAATTTCGATTTTATTGTCGAAATTACGACTTCAATACCAAAATTTTGTATTACAACCTCAAATTCAATATCAAAATTCCGTTTTTGAACTCGAAATTTCAAATTAGAACTCGGGAATGAAATCGAAATTCCAACCTTGAACTAAAAATTTTGACTACAACCTCAAAATTTCGTTTTTAAAATCAAAATATTGAGTGTAATTTCGATTTTATAGTCATAATTACGACTTCGGTTCCAAAATTTTTACTTCAAATTTGAAATTCAATCTCGAAATTCTGTTTTCGACTCCAACCTCAAAATTTTGTTTTAGAACTGAAACTTTTGAAATTTCGATTTCATTGTCGAAATTACGACTTTAATCCCAAATTTTGACGTCAAACTTGAAATTTGAAATCGAAATTTCAAATTGAAACTCGGGACTTCGTTTTCAAACTTGAAATTTCGATCTTGAACACAATATCTCGACTTCAAACTGGAAATTTCGTTTTCAAACCCAAAATTTTGACTGTAATTTTGAAATTCCGATATTATTGTCGAAATTACTTCAATCCAAAAATTTTAACTTCAAACTTGAAATTAAATTTCGAAATTCCGTTTTTGAAATCGAAATTTCGACTGAAAACTCAAAATTTCAAGATTAAAAACAAACTTTTAAACAATTTCTACTTCTGTTTGGATTTTGGAGTGAAGTTATCTCACTGTGATTTTTATCTTGCGGTGCTAAGGTTCACACTGTATTTCAGGAATAAACTTTGGAGTACTTTTATGTATTGAGCCCCTACCCGAAATGCTACTACCATTCCTAATATAATTTCATTCAATAATTGAAGTGAATTGAAATTACCTCTAGACCCAACATGAACAAAAGAGTGACCACCACCACGATGGTGACTCCCAGAACGTCAGGCCAAGGCTCTCCAAGGGAATGCTGCTCCATACCGAATAAAAATTCCCTGAAGTGCCCTTTACTGATGTAATCGACGGTGGCGCTCGCTAGTCTGGCGCAAGTTGCAGCTGCTACCAGGTTGGTTAAAATATCGAGCCATAAAATAAGGAAATATAAAACATCAGACAACTTTTTCTTTCGGAATTGCTCTTCTGAAACGGTCGATGACGAGCCGCAGAGAGCTGGAAAGATATAATAAAAATTCAGATGAAATATTTTCAACCTCTCACAAGGACGAGAGACATACTGATATCACCATAAATGTGTTTGGAATTGTTCCATAATTTTTTTCTATAAACTATGACGATTGAGAACAGTTTATTTATAGAAGTAGTACAGTACTATAATAGTAGTACTACTGTAAAAGTAAACTCAACTTTATTTCGCTGCTACGCTGACAATACAACATAAAACTTCAAATAAAACTTCAAACTGATATTTTTAGGTTATGATCACGAAGTAAGAGTATATGAATTGTGTCCAAGATGTGGAGGGATCAGTAAATAAAAATCAGAATCTTTGAGGGATACACGGTAACTTTAGCATTTTGTTCTTACAGAAAGCAAGTCTACTGCTATTCCTGGATGCTATATTAAAGATAGTTCTAATTAATTTCCTCTGAAAAATAAAAACACGTTTTGCCCCCACAGAAGAACCCCACATTAATATATTTTGAGTCATATGTGAGTAAGACAATGGATAGTAAACAGTCCTGACACCTACAAAACTGAGCACGTCTTTGATCTGTGGTATTGCAAATATTGCTTGACTCAATTTTTTGCATACATGATCGATATGGGGTTCTCAAGACAAGATTTCACCTATAGACATACCAAGGAGTTTGGCGGTTTCCGAGAGTCGGATGTTGTTAAGTTTCACTGTTTCTCTTAACGCGAAGCCTAAATGGACTGTTTTACTTTCATTCAGTTTCAGTTGATTTCAATCATACCAAGAAATCACGTCATCCATGATGACATGACGGAAGATCATTCATGTAGATATAGAAAAGCAGTGGGCCTAAAATGGACCCCTGTGGTATCCCAAGGATAATATCTTGAATATCAGATACTGCATTATTCACAGTCACTACCATTTTCCTATTTTCCATAAAAGCTTTTATCCATTCCAGAAGGAACCCTCTAATGCCAATGTTATATAACTTACTAACCATTATGTCACTATTTACTGAATCAAACGCCTTAGCCGAGTCGAATAATATTGAAACTACGTACGTCCCCTTATCGATTTCATTGTAAATGAACTCGAACTTTCTAGCAATAGCAGTGTCAACCGATCTAGCTTTTCTAAAAAATCATTCATGTAGATATAGAAAAGCAGTGGGCCTAAAATTGACCCCTGTGGTATCCCAAGGATAATATCTTGAATATCAGATACTGCATTATTCACAGTCACTACCATTTTCCTATCTTCCATAAAAGCTTTTATCCATTTCAGAAGGAACCCTCTAATGCCAATGTTATATAACTTCCTAACCATTATGTCACTATTTACTGAATCAAACGCCTTGGCCGAGTCGAATAATATTGAAACTACGTACGTCCCCTTACCGATTTCATTGTAAATAAACTCGAACTTTCTAGCAATAGCAGTGTCAACCGATCTAGCTTTTCTAGAACCATGTTGATATTTTTGAGAAACACCGTAATTCTATTTGCTATTATGTGTGCTTTGGTATTTGATCATTTTCATATAGAAAAATTACGCTGGATTCAGAGTCATAAGATTATATTGACGATAGTGATCTGTGAATAGGTCTGTCAGACAACGTAGGTCATACTGGATCTAACAATCCAAATATGTACAAACGCTTTGGAATTGGCTAATCCTCGTAGATCTACCCAAGAGTCTGAAACACTTCTGACAGTCCAGGAATTCAGTAAATTTTTGGCAAAAACTTGAAGCGATACTACAAACAGGTTCTGGTCTCCTACCGATTGCAGCGACCTCTCTTGCAAGTTATTCGGTAGCTTCATTGATTTTCGGGCAACTGTGATTGGGAATCCAGACTGAAGACAGTTTGTTGTGTCTTCCTATCGAGAAGAGTTTTTTGGACGTTTCTTGGTGATAACCAAATACCTAACAGATCATAATGGTTCATGTGTGGGGTTTGTTTCCATCAATTTATCCACCAATAGAAGGATGGTATAGATTTACATCTGAAATATGGTCATGTAAAACCCTATGTAGGTTAAGATTTCTGTCCTGAGTTAGCGGCAGTACAACTTGATCTGGAACCTGAAGGTGTTTTTGGTAATCGACAATTGGAGGTATCAAGTTGAAGGTAATTTCCGGAATGCTGTGACTTCCAGCATATAATATAGACAACCTGTAAATTCTCCAACTAGCCTAGAGAGACAAATATCCAACCTTTCTTCGATGTACCAGACTATCAAGCTTGCAAGTAATGTTCGCGTCTCCAATCATGCGGATGGCTATTTTCTGGATGGAATCCAGCAGCTTCAGGTATGCTTGGGAACTGGGCTCTATACATAAAAACAATACTTCAAAGAAGTCTGATCTTTACTGTATAAAGCACCAAAAGTTGTCGTGGTGTGTACAGTTTTCTGGTTCGGAACAGTGTTCCAAGCTTCTGAGAAGCAGCTTTTGCAATTCCAGCGACATGATTGTGCCAAGACATATTGGTGTTCATTTTAACCCCCAATAAACTTATCGAAGCAGAAAGTGGAATTGTCTGATCTGATAGGCATATGTCTGGTACGGAGACTTTTAACTTCAAGCAACATATTGTATTCTTGGTTTTTCCTAATAATTCGTTGATATACAATAGAAAGAGGGTTCTGAACCCCAAAATTTCTTCAAGTTTCAGGTGACTTTCTCATCGAGAATAATGAGAATTTATTTCACTTCTGCTGCAAAGTGGAGGTGAATTATTCGAATTTTTCCTTCCGGTGAAGAAAACCATTATTATTTTATATGGGTTTACAGACAACAGCTCCTTCAAGTTTGTAGATAATTAGTCATCCACCCACTTACTCATCTGTGCATTCCACATAAATACCTACTTTGAAATATTGCCGGTGAATTCTCAAGTTATAGAGTTGAATGTGAATTTTTTGAAAATACTTGAAGAATAAAAGGTTGGGTGAAAATATGAGTTCTTTTCATAAATGTATATCACTCAGAAGGTATGATTTACATCAACATTCGGACCGAACATTAATGGAATATGGGAAGGAGGGACGAAAGTTACCATCAAACATGTCAAGTTCAGTTTCCAATATCAAAAATATTTTTTCTTATACGTATATAGGTACTATACACATTTGCAAGCCGATAATGGAAATTTCATAATAATAATAATAATAATAATATTTATTTTCCAAAAGACATAGTACAATATGTATAGGAATAGTCGGGACAACAAAAGGTAAAGAAGTAAAAAGTAAAAAGATTGATAAGCTAGACAGTAACAGGCTTATCACCAACTACATATTAAAATATTCATCCAATGAATAAAAACATTTTTCAATTAAAAATTTTTTCAGTATCTTGTTGAATTTCCTACATTCAATGACATTTTTTATATCGTGGGGTAGTCTGTTATAGATTCTCAGCCCCATACGATCAGGTGAGTTATAAGTGATTTTATATTTGCAAAATGGAATGTGAAAATGATTTTTTTGACGAGTGTTAACGTCATGCAGGTTTGCATTTCTGTTGAATTTAGTTTTATTTTTAAGAACATAATTACAAAGTTCATATATGTAGAGTGAAAATAATGTCAATATGTTATATTTAACAAACAGTCCTCTAGCAGAGTTCGTGGAGGAAACGCCGGCCACAATTCTTACAACTCTTTTTTGCATGATAAAAACGTCATTTATTGAAGTGGAGTTGGCATACAAACAAATTCCATACCTGATTCGAGATGCTACTTGGGAGAGATATAAGGATAGTAGTTGAGGCTCCTCCAGGACCTGCTTGAGACTTCTGAACATATAGCATAAAGAATTCAATCTTTTATTCAAATAAGTGCAGTGACTTTTCCAGTTCATATTTTCATCGACAACTAGTCCGAGAAATTTTACTTCGTTTATGTTACATATTAGTGTATCACTAACGCAAACATTTAATGAAAGACAATTTTTTTGCCATTTATGAAATTTGACGATTTGGGTTTTCGTTGCATTCAGATATAAAGAATTTAGGCTACACCACTCGTTTATAGAACTGAGAACTTGTTCGCATTTCTGTTGTGCTGTAATTTCATCCTTGTCCGATATTATCACAGAAGTATCATCAGCGTACATGGTAGCAGGGATCCCTGTAAGGTATTTCTCAAGATCATTGGTATACAATAAAAATAAAATTGGCCCCAATATAGACCCTTGTGGAACTCCCATGTTAACCACTTTAGTTTCAGAATTAACGAATGTGTTTGCTCCGGAAATACGTTCCGAAATTTGTACATACTGAGTACGTTCAGTTAAGAAGGAAGAAATCCAATTAAAAGCAGAGCCTCTGATTCCATAGTTGTACAACTTCGATAATAAAAGCTGATGATTAACATAGTCGAATGCCTTGCTGAGATCACAAAAGACCCCAGCAGGGCATTCTCCTGATTCCAAATATTCAATAACTTGGTTAAAGAACGAAATTGCAGCCGTATTCGTTGAAAGATTAATTCTAAACCCATGCTGATTTTCACTTAAAATATTAAAACCATCCAAAAATTTCAACAACCGTTCAAGGAAAGAATATTCAAAGATATTTGAGAAGCTTGACGTTATTGTTATGGGACGATAGTTATCCATTTCGCTAGTTGAACCCTTTTTATGAATTGGGATGATTTTCCCTGTTTAAAGGGAGTTGAGAAATGTTCCCTTTAAAAATGACAAGTTCACTAAAAAAGTCAAAGGTTTGATGATATTGCTCAAACATTTCTTTAGAAGAAAGAGCGGTATATCGTAATTTCCTGCAGAATGTTTGTTTTTGAGTTTACTCATTAAGAGTGCTTCTAGTTCTATCTCAGCAAAAGGATTGAGGTATATTGTGAAGTTATTGAATTGAATTTTAGGATGATCTGTGGTTTCTACTTGAGCTTGATCAATTTTGTTAATGACTTCTGCTGGAGCATTTATGAAATAATTGTTCAGCAAAGTTGATACTTCACTAGCACTTTCATACACAACACCATCTTCAACGATTTCTATATGATGGTTTGGAGCGACTTTACGTTTACTCAATTCCGAAATGACCTTCATACACTGGGTGTTGTAAATATTCAGAAAACGTTATTCCTGACCATTCTCAGATATATTCTCAGAATTTGGAGAAATTCTAATGGAAATCTTTACCTGATAAGGTGGACGAAATAGCTGCTATAAAAATGGAACCTATGGCTTCAGCACCAGAGAATTCGGAAGCAAGCAGACCAACCAGAATGGTGATCCCAAATGACCAATGGGTGAGAGCATGGCTGAAGTCCTGTAGATTTCCCATTCTGTAAAAAATATTTTTGAAGTTTCAGTAAAAACAAGTTGATGTTTGAATTGAAGGGGTTATATTTTTTAGGAGTGATTAATTTTTGGGAAAGAAAGTTTTTGGCTTTGGAGTAGTAGAAAGTTTTTGGCTTTGGAGTAGTAGAAAGCCAAAAACTTTCTTTCCCAAGTTGATGTTCTTATTCTCCACATCTTTTGCATACTTTTGATTTGGATAATCGATATTTATTATTGAAGCTAAAAACAATATTGTTAGCAGCTTCATCCACGTCCAACTTTCGATTACACCAGTGTCATTCAATGATTATTATAATGATCTATTTGCTGTGAGGTTGTCCAAAAATAGTCACCACAGTGTAGAACAACCTCTTTTCATGGCAATTATCAGTTATTGTGTCTCTTCCCTCTGAGATTACTCACCATGAATTCACTTGCGTACAATTTATGTATCCATCCAATCATTGTTGCTTCTCAAGCCATAATTGAACATCAATGGTTATCAAAAGTACAATTTGTATACGAAGGTTCAAAGAAACAAGGATATAAGAAATTGAAAGATTGAATAACGAATCAAATGCAGTGAATTGGGTATAAATTCTAGATAGTGATAGCTAATATCTGCTGAAAGTATAGAATTCATGCAATATAATTATTCACTTCCAATAATATAATTTATCATAAGACAACATGTAGGTGGAAAATTACTGAATCAGAATAGAAATTGAAAGTTTGTCAATGCTAGTATTTCACAAAAATGACAGTGCTAGGATCCAGACTCTTCTAATCCCTCGATGTTAGACACCACCTCCATGGAAACGTATTATCAGCAATGCTTTGAAAATAGATGGTCCTTGTTCCCAAACCATTATTTCGTGAGAGAACCACTAAAAAAATTTTTGATTCTGAAATGATTTAGGTCTACAAACCCTAGATAAGACACCTAGCAGGAAGAAATCAAATAACCTTCCACTATTTCACTCAATTTGAGGTTCAGTATATTCTCCTGGCTGCCTTTCCCACTATATCTGACATTTATATTAACAACACTCAAAAAATTCGACTCACCCTATAAAGTTAGTACCAGAAGGTACGTCAAATACATTCCAGGCCAAGAACTATCACTGTCACATTGAAACAACACACCTTTTCTTTATAATCCGAAGGCTATTTCAGACTCGTGATTTTCTGCAATTCGTCTGCATTACCCAATCAATAATTTCTTTTGAGCAAGCGCGACGCTCGGAAAAGTTCACGTGGTGTGAGTGTGAAATGTATACCCGCGGAAACTGAAAACGATATCCTCTACACAAAGGCTAATTTTCTTATACGAGGAGTGGAATAAATATACAAAACTGGAATATATTTCAATGTTTTCTCCACTTTCGAAACAACCAGAGCCATATGAATCATAGATCAGTCATGGCGTAGGAATTCAACGCAGGTTGTAAACATTTTAGAATTATGCGACGAACATGACGACCATTCATTCTGGTGAAGGGAAAATATTCTGAAGAATTTTTATTGTGAGGAGAAAACGAAATTTTTGGAGAGAACCCCCAAGAACAGTTGCAGAGAACTAAGCGAATGTAGATGGAATATTGGAAAATATCAATGTCCAAGCTCACACTGAAGAAGAATCCACGGATCAGATATAATAATGTATGGATGATATATAGTAAAAAAAAGTTTCTACATTGTATGACCTATACCATCTGTATCTTTTCTTATACAGATATATACTCAACCTCCATCTACTCTCATGCAGACCTACGACTTTGTAGGTACGTGTGGCAGATACCCAATGGAAAAACAACAACTAACCCAGCTTATGTTGCGGAGAGAGTTGAAGTTAAACCATCAGAAACCTGTGCAACGTCTTCGACTTGGAAGATTCGTCGCAAGTTTCGGTTTTGGGGTGTTTGCCTTATCATCAGTACCGGACATGGTCGTTTTACAACGGCGTGAACCGTCTGCATACTCCGAGATGGGAGTCGGAATAATGACAGTTCACTTAATCAACTGCAGAGAGATTCTATGACTAGCTGGAATTATAATTTGCGACGAATCGAAGACGTTGCACAGATGGCTTTACTGCAACTCTCTGTGCGGCAATAGCTGGGTTAGTTGTTGTTTTTCCGTTGAGTATCTGCCACACGCACCTACAAAGTCGTAGGTCTGCATGAGAGAAAAGAGAAATATAT